CTTCACAGTAGGTATGGTGTTCTTTGGATGCAACTCAGCATTCTTTGTCCTCCAAACACGACGAGTTGAGTTTTTACCAAAAAGTTCTATTTTGGTTTCATCTGACCATATGACATTCTCCCAATCCTCTTCTGGATCATCCAAATGCACTCTAGCAAACTTCAGACGGGCCTGGACATGTACTGGCTTAAGCAGGGGGACACGTCTGGCACTGCAGGATTTGAGTCCCTGGCGGTGTAGTGTGTTACTGATGGTAGGCTTTGTTATTTTGGTCCCAGCTCTCTGCAAGTCATTCACTAGGTCCCCCCGTGTGGTTCTGGGATTATTGCTCACCGTTCTTGTGATCATTTTGACCCCACGGGGTGAGATCTTGCGTGGAGCCCCAGATCGAGGGAGATTATCAGTGGTCTTGTATGTCTTCCATTTCCTAATAATTGCCCCCACAGTTGATTTCTTCAAACCAAGCTGCTTACCAATTGCAGATTCAGTCTTCCCAGCCTGGTGCAGGTCAAGTTCAAACAGGTGCCATTAATACAGGTAACGAGTGGAGGACAGAGGAGCCTCTTAAAGAAGAAGTTACAGGTCTGTGAGAGCCAGAAATCTTGCTTGTTTGTAGATGACCAAATACTTATTTTCCACCATAATTTGCAAATAAATATATAAAAAATCCTACAATGTGATTTTCAGGATTTTATTTTCTCAATTTGTCTGTCATAGTTGACGTGTACCTATGATGAAAATTACAGGCCTCTCTCATCTTTTTAAGTGGGAGAACTTGCACAATTGGTGGCTGACTAAATACTTTTTTTCCCCACTGTACATCCTGTCCAAGCCCAAATTGGACGCCTGTGAAAAGAGATTGGTTGCTAAACTCGCTCCATTCGAGTTTGACATCAAGTACATCCCCGGTACCAAAAATGTCATTGCTGATGCACTCAGTAGACAGCCATTTGTGCAGCCGAGCGCTCTCCACCACATCACAAGGGTTCCATACAAGGCCTTGCTGGAAGAAGCTGCGGGAGTACGTGCTGAGAAGCTGCAAGATGTGTTCCGCTGGTCGAACCACCCATTCGACCTCGAAAGCTGCTCACCGTCAATTGAGGCAAATGCCTGTGAAATTGTCATGGACTGCCAAACTACCTCCTATCCTTCTCCTGGTTCTCTGTTAAAGGAAGTGGTGTCAGCAGTCCTGAGGTCGCAAGGGGAGGCTGGTCTACAGAACTGTGCGCTGCTACTGCCTCAGCTCACTCAGTCACTGGTGCCATCTGAGATGTCAGATGTGAGAGTGCTATCCCATGACGACCTGATATCAAAGCAGCGCCAGGATGACGCACTCGCCAGAGTTGTCTTCTACGTGGACAGGAGCCGTAGACCTTCTAGGAGGGAACGTGACCATGAACCACTCGAGGCTCTGCGGATTCTGAAGACCTGGGAGAAGCTCACTCTGAAAATGGGTGTACTATATCGCGTTACCAAAAGTTTGCTGTCAAAGAAGAAGACGTACCAGTATGTAGTACCCACCTCAATGAGGGCGACAGTTTTGAAGGGTGTCCACGATGAAGCCGGTCATCAGGGGCAACAGCGAACGTTGTACTTGACGAGACAGAGGTTCTTCTGGCATGGTCTGGAGTCGGATGTGAGAGAGTATGTCAAGACCTGCAAGAGGTGTGTGTTCAGTAAGGCCCCCGAGCCAGAGGCCAGAGCTCCACTGGAGAACATCATCACAACTGAGCCCCTCGAGTTGGTGTGTGTGGACTTCTGGTCTGCTGAAGACTCCAACAACAAGTCCTTGGATGTTCTGGTTGTCACTGATCATTATCCTAAGATGGCCCATGCCTTCTTGTGTCCGAACCAATCAGCTAAAGCAGTGGCACTTCAGCTGTGGAACAACATCTTCTGTGTGTATGGCTTTCCTCGTCGTATCCACTCTGACCAAGGGCCAACTTTGAAAGTAGATTGATTGCTGAGTTGTTGAGTGCTGTAGGAGTCCAGAAGTCGCACACAACTCCCTAACATCCGATGGGGAACGGGGGAGTCGAAAGGTTCAATAGAACGCTGGGAAACATGATCAGGGCTTTACCTGCGAGAGCGAAGCACAGGTGGCCCCAGAAGCTGAAGTCGTTGACCTTCGCCTACAACTGTAGAGTCCATGAAACCACGGGCTACGCCCCTTTCCAGTTGATGTTTGGGAGAACCCCACGTCTGCCTGTCGACATGATGTTTGGTACTGTGCTGCAAGACTCAGAGGTTGTAGACTATGACGAGTACATCAAGTCCCTGACGAGAGACCTGAGGGAGGCCATGGAGACGGTACAGGTGTCGGCAACCAAACAGCTGAAGAGGCATGGAGGCCTCTACGACAGGAAGATCAGAGGAGCTCCAGTGGAGGTCGGTGATCGGGTGCTGCTGGCGAATAAGGGTGAACGTGGAAAGAGAAGGCTGGCGGATCGTTGGGAGAACAACCTCTATATTGTTACGGAGAAGAATAGTGACATCCACATCTTCAAGATACAGAACATGTCAACTGGCCAGGAGAAAACGGTACACCGTAATCTGATAATGCCTGTAAACTTCTTGCCTCTCCCCGACACTGCCTTGGAGACACCTAATACGGAAGACCGTGAGGATCCGAGTGAGGAGATGGAGGACTCATCCATGAACGATATACCAGAAATGGACATTGGTGAGAGGACTAGGGTGTGGGTATCAGAACAGACCTCGGGGGAAGCACAGCCGGAGCACTCCGAAAAAGAAACCCCAGATGTGCTGGAAGATGGGCCACTGGCGAGGGATCCTCAGAACTCACCACATTCTGAGGGTGCCACTGGTGGCACAAGCATGTCAGAGCTAACCTTTGGAGAAGAAATGTCCGAACCCTCTGAAGAAGAAAGGCATTCTGAAGATGCCGCTGGGAGCACAAGCTCCAGCAACAGTCACAGAACCCTTGACCTTGACTATCCACCGACTGTGGACAGTGACCCACCAGTGGTGGTTGTAGGTGAACAGGTTAAACGTAATAACTCTGTTAGGCCTGTCAGGTCAGGGGCTGGTTGGGTTAGGAAACGCCCAGTGAGACTCATAGAGACTATGCAGACACAGAGGGTTTTTCATACAGAATTCATTAGAATACCTGTGTGGGTGTAGGATTAGAATCCAAGTCTGTAGCCCATTTTTTATGACTTTTTTTTACTTTCAAGAGACCCCATGGAGGTCATGGGTCAGAGGTCAAGTTGGCCAAGGTTTTTCTGTCTGAGGTTCTTATTGTCACTGAGTGTACTGAACATGTAACAGGCATGTTTTTCTATGGGGTCTTTGAATTCCCCTAATTCTCTTAGAGAATAGTCTTTGCACTGAAATATTTGGTGACATATGTATTGCAAGGTATTGCATACCTCATTTTGTTTCTTTATAGTATGCAAATGTAATTCAGCAGGGGAGAATGTAACAGGGTTGGTTATGTTTCCACTTGCCTCTAAAGAAATTTGTATTTAATGTTCAAGCATTCTTATTGGTTGGTTCAACTCTGATGACAATAAGGCTGTTGTGATAAGGGTGTTGTGATTGGCCCCGCTTGCAGCTAGGGGGAGATCGCGAACGTCAGGTCTTCCCAGTATGAAAATGTGATGCAAGGGGTAGGTCATGTTCTGAATACTGTTTTATATTTTACAATGTGTACAAGGTTGCTGTACGTTACTGATTTATACATGTGTGGGTATATGGTACCTGTTAGGGATTGAGGGGCTTTCTGGGATGTGCTTTGGCATATGATTGCTGTAGATAAGTGTGTTAGCTAGCATACACTGACGTAATGGTCACATAAGCCCACTGCTAACACACTTGTCTTCATGCTACAGATTTTGCCATCGACAGCCATCAATATCGTTAAGCTCTGCACAACTAACGTGCTGTTTCCCATTTAACAACAGGAATAAATGATGCTCAACTGGGACCACTGGCTGATGTGATTTATTAAGAGAAAACACAACGCAAGGAGAGTACGATATACATCTGTTACATCAGGGCAAGCAGTTGCTCCATGGACCAGCTCGGCTTTGTTACGTTAAAATAAAGTATATTCTGAATTCACAAGCTTCGGTTTTTGAGAGATACTTTTGAGTTAAATATTTCTACCACACTACTGGCTTATTATTTTCGAGTGAATGGGCTGCTTATTCTTTCAGATGATTTGATGCTGTGTGTGACTGCTGTTTCTATCGGCGCTCTCTTTCAGTGTGTTGCTGAAATAGCGGAGGCAGTGCGCCTGTTTTCTTTGCTCTGATGCGCAGTAACTGTCCGTGGTCCTGAATTAATAGTTAGTCCTATGTGTGGTGTTGAATTTACTCCGCCACTGTGAGAGTATGACTGTCTTTTTGGAACTGTTTCTGTGAAACAATGTATGTCTTTTTCGGCCTTGTATACCATAGCAACAGTACTGATCAACGAAGTGTCCTACCTCTTGGAGTTGTTGGGGAGTACGCTCTTTCCCCATGTTTACGACATCTCTGGGTAGACTGAGGTGCGCAGCTGTTTGATCCTCAGGAGCTTAAACATATCCTGCATGAAGGCCCACCCTGGCGTTGTTCAATACACTGATCTTTACAGGAAAACCACTGATCGTAACAGTTTGTTGAGGGCTAATAGCTGTCGCACCTCTCAGGGAGAAAGAAGAGGTGCGACAGTGTGAGGAGGAATCAGTAACTAACGGACAGGTTCTTGCAAATGCTCCCGGCTGCGCATAGTATATAATTTGGAGTATACTCCAGTTTCAAGAATTTCAAGAGAACATAAAAATGGTTGAGCTTTAAATCAGTGCTGTCAAATGGTGTAACTGTGCTTAATATTTGTAAAATACCTTTAATAAATGTGTTAGTCACATGATATCTCAATTGGCCCAAGGGGGTCGCTGCATCATTTGTGGGGGATGACATGTTTACTGTTGCCTTGTTTACTTTACAATATTTCTCTCTCTATTAATATAAGGGATGCATGCATCTGAGAGAATGGCTGACGATGATAAGAATGACGTAATGAAGTACAAGTACATCATCAAAAATGTGGGGGAAAAGTATGAAATAGACCCAGCTATCATCTGTGGCATCATCTCAAGAGAGTCCAGAGGTGGGAGAGCAATACGGGACAAGAATGGTTGGGGGGACCATGGAAAGTCCTTTGGGTTTATGCAGATAGGCACTCAGATTATAATTAATTGATTGATTGAAGTCGCTGATTGGCCAGAGAATTCCAGTCACTTGGGTCATATTCATAAAGGCAGGCAACACAAAGCATTTCAAAACTATTTGTATCTGAAAACAAAAAAAGGCAGCTTTCTTATTGGACAAATCCAGGTAGTCCCTCGCGGTTTTCTTCCGCTTGGTGCCTAATGAATACATCCCTGGTGCCCCAGGTATGAATCAGACCCTCGAAGCCCAGATTTCAGAGCTATGAATGGAATTCATAGGTTATTAAAGTTGTTAATCTTATTTATGTTTCTATTACCTTTGTTTGATGCTGAATGCCATGTTTCAATGACATTACAGTGGATGCTGGTGGTAGGACAGGCTCATTGTAATGGCTAGAATGGAATTAATGGAACGGAGTAAAACGTGGTTTCCATATGTTTGACACTGTTCCATTAATGCCATTCCAGCCATTACGATGAGCCTGTCCTCCAATAGTTCCTCCCACCATCCTCCTCTGATTGCAATATAAGTGATTTCATTCATCATTGATTTCAATCTTATATTTCCTAGGTTGATGTTACTCCAAATGGTGGCAACCACACTCCAAAGGGAGAATGGGACAGTCAGGAACATCTCAAACAAGGCACTGAAATTCTCATTAATTTATTCAAAAAGATCCAGAGAAAGTTTCCTGACTGGACCAAGGAGCAGCAGCTGAAAGGTACGACATTTGATAGATACTTCCTGGACTAACCAAATTTGTGGCCCTTGTCAAGAACATTTTAGCCTCTTATGGAAAGCATTGCTAAAACCTACCTTGTTTTTACCCCCAGATGACGAGTGTAATTTTGACGAATATTATTGTACTGCCTAATCTCATGAGAAAATGGATGCCTACACTACAAGGAAGGACTATTCCATGATGTTGCCTAAACTTAATATTTCAAGCATATATAATGGTTATTAAAGTAAACTGTGGGACCGACCATCCTTTGAGCCAGACTATCATCTCGTAATGAATAATGTGGAAATTGAGCAAGTTGAGGTGACTAAACTGCTTGCAGTAACCCTGGATTGTAAACTGTCATGGTCAAAGCATATTGATACAACAGTAGCTAAGATGGGGAGAAGTATCTCCATAATTAAGCGCTGCTCTGCCTTCTTAACAACACTATCAACAAGGCAGGTCCTACAGGCCCTAGTTTTGTCGCACCTAGATTACTGTTCAGTAGTGTGGTCAGGTGCCACAAGGAGGGACTTGGGAAAATTGCAGTTGGCTCAGAACAGGGCAGCACGGCTGGCCCTTAAAAGTACATGGAGAGCTAACATTAATGACATGCATGTTAGTCTCCTGGCATAGAGTGGAAGAGAGATTGACTTCTTCACTGCTTGTTTTTTTAAAAGGTGTAGACAAGCTGAATGTACTGAGCTGTCTGTTTGGAATGCTGGCACACAGCTCGGACACCCATGCATACCCCACGAGACATGCCACTAGAGGTCTCTTCACAGTCCCCAAGTCCAGAACAGACTACGGGAAACACACAGTACTACATAGAGCCATGACTACATGGAACTCTATTCCACATCATGTAACTCAGTCAAGCAGTAAAATCAGAAAAACAGAAAAAACACTTTATGGAACAGCGCAGACTGTGACGAGACACACACACAGCATTTGCAAACACATGCACTCTACACACACACATTTTAATATTGTTATTTTGCTATGTTATGGTAGAGTAGTGTGTAATAAGGTGTTGTGTTATGTTTTATTGTATGTAAATTGTGGTTTGACCCCAGGAAGAGTAGCTGCTGCCTTGGCAGCCGCTAATGGGGATCCGTAATAAATACAAACATTCTAACGACATGTCATGTGCGGTCTGGGTAGCCTAAATGTATCTGGAGGTTAGGCCATACAGACTTGATTAACAAATGGTGTTTTTATTTTTTTTATGAGGCGAGCAAGCAAGTCAAAAAGTTAACCACTTTGTAAAAATAGTTATTAGCAACCTTATTAGTTCAAAACCTAGCGACCTCATCAAGACCATAGAATTACATATTAGACATTTTATAGGATAGGATCTCTGTTGTCAAGACCTCATCTGTGTCAAAAGTGGGATAGCATCAACAGGGGCATCTGTTAAACAGTAAATCAACATTGTATGGCCCTAGCTTGCATTGAATGGTTCAGTAGCCCGATATCAATGTTAAATTCACAAAATGTTATACACAATGTAATAGGAAGGTTTCATTTAATGCATTCGTCTAACATTCTAGTTGTTTTCAATTGACATGAAGATCATGTAATAAGGAATGTTTCATGCTTTACAAAAAGTACAGCTTTTCTAATCTAATATGCTTTAAAAAATACATTGAGTCATTAGAGGCAGGCTTCAGGCAATAAAGACTCATGTAACAGATCTCCGCAACTTTTTGGAAGTTTCTCTTTATTTGATTTGTTAATTTTTTATCCAAAAAAATCCTGAGGTATTCACAATATAATGGCATTTATTCTGTTTGAAATATAGGAAATGAAACAGAAAATGAAAGACAGCAAAAAGCAGAGTGAGACAGTAGCTGTGTAGATTGATACAACTGTCAGAACAAACCCTTTGAGTCATACATACAAACAAAAAGCCATGGAATTGCAATGGCGATGGAAAAATTTCCCCCCTTCAAATCGAGCAAGTCATGCAATACTGCATTTAGAAACCCTAGGGAACAAGCTAATTATTCTTTACCAACATTTTAAAACAGGGTTTCCACCTCGCTACAGAGTGCAGGTTAAATACGAGCCAATCAGTCCACTTCGGAATAGAAAACTATTTCAGTCATAGTATGCATAAAACATTGACTGCTAGTCTGTTTCAGGAGGATAATTCATTACTTGTGTAAAACCAATCCATTTTTCAAACAATAGGAGCTAACTTAAATGGGTATTAGCTTAGCACTCTCTCTCTCTAATACCACACATGCTGTAAATGTTAAGGTTTAAACCATAACCCCTGTTTGGCTTGACGGAGTAGGATTTCAATGAAATGAGTGCACACACTTCAGTATAGAAACAGACATCCTACAGCTCAGCCAAGCCAGTACTAGCAGAGCATACACCATCTAGAGTTTAAACCACTCCACTACAATATGTTTCCTGTGGGTTAGTGTGGTTTGATATTTGGCTTTTGTATCAACGGCAACGCCAAATGACAGACAGACAATTCCTTTTACCATGCGTGTCTTGTTTGGCTTTAAAAAAATAAAACTCACAACCAACCAATAAATTACCTCCCTCAGCCCCAACAACGGAAGGAGGAGGTATTTATTGGTTGGTTGTGCGTTTTATTTTTTAAAAAGCCAAACAAGACACGCATGGTAAAAGGAATTGTCTGTCTGTCTGTCTGTCATTGGGTTTGCCGTTGATACAAAAGCCAAATATCAAACCACACTAACCCACAGGAAACCTATTGTAGTGGAGCTGTTTAAACTCTAGATGGTGTATACTCTGCTAGTACTGGCTTGGCTGAGCTGTAGGATGTCTGTTTGGATACTGAAGTGTGTGCACTCATTTCATTGAAATCCTACTCAGTCAAGCCAAACAGTGGTTATGGTTTAAACCTTAACATTTACAGCATGTGTGGTATTAGAGAGAAAGTGCTAAGCTAATACCCATTTTAAGTTAGCTCCTATTGTTTGAAAAATTGATTGGTTTTACACAAGTAATGAATTATCCTCCTGAAACAGACTAGCAGTCAATGTTTTATGCATACTATGACTGAAATAGTTTTCTATTCCGAAGTGGACTGATTGGCTCGTATTTAACCTGCACTCTGTAGCGAGGTGGAAACCCTGTTTTTAAAATGTTGGTAAAGAATAATTAGCTTGTTCCCTAGGGTTTCTAAATGCAGTATTGCATGACTTGCTCGATTTAAAGGGGGGACATTTTTCCATCGCCATTGCAATTCCATGGCTTCTAGTTTGTATGTATGACTCAAAGGGTTTGTTTTGACAGTTGTATCAATCTACACAGCTACTGTCTCACTCTGCTTTTTGCTGTCTTTCATTTTCCGTCTCATTTCCTCTATTTCAAACAGAATAAATGCCATTATATTGTGAATACCTCAGGATTTTTTTGGAGAAAAAATTAACAAATCAAATTAAAGAGAAACTTCCAAAAAGTTGCGGAGATGTGTTACATGAGTCTTTATTGCCTGAAGCCTGCCTCTTATGACTTAATGTTTATTATTTTTTAAAGCATATTAGATTTTTTTGTAAAGCATGAACCATTCCTTATTACATGATCTTCATGTCAATTGAAAACAACTAGAATGTTAGACGAATGCATTCAATTAAACCTTCCTATTACATTGTGTATAACATTTTGTGAATTTAACATTGATCATGATATCAGGCTACTGAACCATTCAATGCAACCTAGGGCCATACAACGTTGATTTACTGTTTAACGGATGCCCCTGTTGATGCTATCCCACTTTTGACACAAATGAGGTGTTGACAACAGAATCTATCCTATAAAATGTCTATGTAATTATATGGTCTTGATGAGGTCGCTAGGTGTTGAACTAAGGTTGCTATAGTATTTTTTTTACAAAGTGGTTAACCTTTTGACTTGCTTGCTCGCCTCATAAAAAAACAAACATCTGTTAAACAGTTCGTTAATCAAGTCTGTATGGCCTAACCTCCAGATACATTTAGGCTACTCAGACCGCACAGGACATGTCGTTAGAATATTTGTATTTATTACGATCCCCATTAGCAGCTGCCAAGGCAGCAGCTACTCTCCTGGGGTCAAACCACAATTTACATACAATAAAACATAACACAACACCTTATTACACACTACTCTACCATAACATAGCAAAATAACAATATTAAAATGTGCGTGTGTTAGCATGTGTTTGTGTGTCTCTTCACAGTCTGCACTGTTCCATAAAGTGTTGTTTTTTCTGTTATTCTGATTTTACTGCTTGACTGAGTTACATGATGTGGAATAGAGTTCCATGTAGTCATGGCTCTATTTAGTACTGTGTGTTTCCCGTAGTCTGTTCTGGACTTGGGGACTGTAAAGAGACCTCTGGTGGCATGTCTCGTGGGGTATGCATGGGTGTCTGAGCTGTGTGCCAGCATTCCAAACAGACAGCTCAGTACATTCAGCTTGTCTACACCTCTTAAAAAAACAAGCAGTGATGAAGTCAATCTCTCTTCCACTCTAAGCTGGGAGACTAACATGCATGTCATTAATGTTAGCTCTCCGTGTACTTTTAAGGGCCAGCCGTGCTGCCCTGTTCTGAGCCAACTGCAATTTTCCCAAGTCCCTCCTTGTGGCACCTGACCACAATACTGAACAGTAGTCTAGGTGCAACAAAACTAGGGCCTGTAGGACCTGCCTTGTTGATAGTGTTAAGAAGGCAGAGCAGGGCTGAATTATGGAGATACTGCTCCCCATTTTAGCTGCTGTTGTATCAATATGCTTTGACCATGACAGTTTACAATCCAGGGTTACTGCAAGCAGTTTAGTCACCTCAACTTGCTCAATTTCCACATTATTAATTACGAGATGATAGTCTGGCTCAAAGGATGGTCGGTCCCACAGTTTACTTTAATAACCATTCTGCTTGAAATATTACGTTTAGGCAACATCATGGAATAGTCCTTCCTTGTAGTGTAGGCATCAATTTTCTCATGAGATTAGGCAGTGCAATA